CATTCAAAATGATTTATTCATCATTTTTCAGGAATCAGTGATTCCTACCAGATGGGAATTTTTCGGATCCTTGCTGGCATCCTTCACCTGGGCAACGTGGAGTTTGCGTCTCGGGATTCTGACAGCTGCACTGTTCCTGTGAGTAGTAGATGAGCTGAAGGGCGTGATTGCTGCCCTGACAGTTCTGCCTTCTCCTGGCTTGCAGGGACCTCTTCTGAAAAAGAGTAACACTCTCAAAATGCAAGCAATGTGTTTGTTTGTAATTTGTTAACATTTTCACAGTTCTTTTTTGCAGATGGAGTCAACTCTTCTCAGTTTAGAGGCTTTAGACAGTACTCTCTGTATTATAACAGCGGCTGCCTTAATTCCATTTCACAACTGTAGTTGATCTGTCCTAGAAAAGTCTACCAGACAGGGTAGCTTTGAAGTCCAGGGCGGGTGTCTAGATCTTTATATTCCTACCCGAATACATTCTGTGCCCACAACAAATGCTTTGCAGGATGGGACTTTTTTCTTGATGTTAAATGCCAAAATTGCCTAAATAATTGCAAAGCAAATGCTTCGCAAAGCCCTCTGGGATGTCCAGACATGAGGATAGGATATACAGATATGACTCATCTAGGTGTCATGGTTTTATCAGTCCTTTTTTACCTTTGTAGGAGGTCAGCAGTGAGGACTGCGTAGCCTGATCTGAAAAGAACCTCCTCATTCAGTGAGGACCAAGGCTTCTTACTGAAGTCCATATTCTGGAGATGAGAATATCCGGATCGTGGGATATGGTGGATAGCTGCTGTGAAACCACAGCAATAGGCTGGCTCTTTGGTGTGTCTTAAAAAGGTTTTCACTACAAAGGAAGTATCATTTAATGATCACAGGTAGAAAGCTGATGAGCTCCAGGACATGATGAGCTAGCCTGTGTTGTCATGGGTGTCTCCAGTGCAGGAATCCCACTGAGTGAGCCGGTACAAAGCTGCAAGTTCCTGTGCAATCCTATCCTGACGTCCTACCTGAGCTGTGCTGTTCTCTGGCAGTAGCCGAGTCACTGCAGAGCTCTGTTGCCACACAGACTGCTCTGCTGGGGAAGTGCTGGCGTGGCAATGCAATGGTGGTGCTTCAGGGAACTGAGCAAAGGGCTCTGTGTGGTGCTGTGTGAATGAATCAGTTTGTTTAATGTCAGCTTGAGTAACCCTAACGTGACACTCTTTTGTGCAGTGCTCATTATTATTATGACTTTATTATTGTCTTCTGAGCCAGTTAAAGTGGTGTGGCTAAACTGAAAGAAGACATTCTCAGTTAACTGCATTTTGGGGGTGTAACAACACTGCTATGGGACCTGTATGCTGGATAGACTGGAAGAAACCCCAGAGAAGGTGGAAGGACATGGAAATAGAAAGATAAAGCTGATGTACCCTGAAGCTTCTGTGCATGTAGTAACAGTCCCCTTGTAATCTGTCCTTGTCAAGATGCTGCTTGTCAGCGTGCTATCGAGCCATGGGTGCACAGTCAATGTGATGAGGAAGTAGTGTTAGGAGAGTTCCTCAGGAGGAAAGACCTCTCTGTCCTCGATTTCTAGCTATCGGTTTGCTTGTTAATCACAAGGTATAGTATCTTAGTTTGTTGAGTGGTAAAGGCACTGCATGGGTTTTTATGCAGAAATGTGCAAGCCTTGCTTGTTGATTTTTACCTGGCAAAACAAAGGTAAATTTTTTCACTTGTACAGTGCAATTTAAGAGTTAGAGAATGTAATTTGTGTGCTCCAGTCTCTTAATGTCTGTCTCCAGAATTCACTGAGAAAGTACTATGTTAAATACTGAGTTTGGAGCACGAAAGCCCTTTCCACACTTCTTGCTCTTCAGTCTTGGTTTGGGCTGCGATGCCCCATGGGCCGTCCCTCCCTGCTGTGGATGTACGTGGGCAGGTGAGAGCACCATTCAGGAGCTGTGGTCCATTCTGTCCACAGCACACAGCTTGTGTCCTGTCCTCTGCATTTCTCTAGCTTCTTCACTCAAAACTGAAACAGTTCATTACAAGGATTCAGAAAACCAAGTCCATCCCTGTGAAGATAGGTGATTCATTTTTGTGAAGGTTGCAGGTTCCCTGGGTGGGGCTTTTTTGTGAACACAGGTATAGTAAAATGCCTTTGAGGAAACTGTGATTCACTAATTCACTTCAGCAGTTTGAATGTGAGAAGTGGGTAGGGAACCTGTTACGTTTTGAAGGAGAAAGAGCTGAGGAAGCTGCTGTTGCTGCTTGTTGTTGGATCACTGCAGGCAGGCGGTTCTTCTGATTGCGTGATTGCATGCGTGCCGTTACTGTTTCAAGACCTAACAAGATTGTTTTTATCAGCCCAAGCATGAACCCCTCACCATCTTCTGCGACCTCATGGGCGTGGAGTATGAAGAGATGGCCCACTGGCTTTGCCATCGGAAGCTCGCAACTGCCACCGAAACCTACATCAAGCCAATTTCTAAACTCCATGCCATCAATGCCAGAGATGCACTTGCCAAACATATCTATGCTAATCTCTTTAACTGGATTGTAGATCATGTGAACAAAGCCCTTCACGCTACTGTAAAACAGCATTCTTTCATTGGAGTGTTGGACATTTATGGGTGAGTCTTTTTGTCAGAGGTGTGACACCTCTTATGTGAATATCTTACCGCAAAGCATCTTCATCTTTATCGTGTAGTGCTGCGTGGATTGCGCAAAACCCCCCAAACCCTTCGCAGCTCCTTATTCCAGCTGAAGGAAGTAGGTGTTTAGTTTTGACATGCTGTCTAAGATCTTTGTCTTGACTTTCGAGTTTGACGTTTACAGTGGGATTTCAGGTTTTTGCTGTTGGTAGTTCCTTTATGTATTGCACTGGGGAAAGTTAGAAGGGAATTGCCATCTCGTGGTTCCTCCACGGTGGCACTTCCAGAGGGGACGCAGATAACTAACATACTCTCCAGGAACATCAGTCCCTTCCCCATGATCCTCATCCCTGCCTAAAGAGGGAGCATCACTGGATTGCCCGTGTACTGCAATGTGACATTTCCCTGTGTGCTTTGTTGCTTGATTGTGGTTGGTTGTGCCTGGAATAACACAATGAATTTGACTGGAGGGAGGGAATTTAAAATGATGGGGTCATTTCATCAGGTCTTTTTTTCAGTGCGCCAGTAATTTTGAGTATCTGCGCGTTTTAGATTTGAGACATTCGAAATCAACAGCTTTGAACAGTTCTGTATCAACTATGCCAACGAAAAACTGCAGCAGCAGTTCAATATGGTAAGTAGGAAATGACTGGCATTTCCTCTTCCCTTTCCCCTCACCCAAGTCCATTCTGCTAATTGGGTCCCCAGTGGTTACGATGAATTCCTTCAGTCTATTAACCAGCTGTCCTGGCCGTGGGCTTTGGGGGATGGGGAACGATCGACTATCTCCTAGAAATAGATTTTATGACTAACTGCCTCTCTGGGACTATTTGAAATTCCGATCACAGTAACAATTATAAGTCAGAAGCAGTGCTTGGCAATTAAGACCCTGAGATTGCCTGTCAATGAGAGCACCGTGTGGATGAAGTTGGAGTTAGCCGTGGCTCCGTAACCTCCAACGAGAGCCTGTGCAGGGGTGGCAGCGAGCAGGGCTTTGCTGCTGGAAATCTGCCACCCACGCTTCCTCTCCGGCGCTATTTTTTGAGCGTTTTCAGCCGCATCCTGAAGTTGATGACTGACATGTGGCAAGAGGCGCCTCTTCCCCCTCCTCCAGAGAGATCACGATTCTCTCCCTCTCCTCAGCCTTAGTGACGTTTGTAATTATATATCTTACCTGCATAATGATGAGGCAAGTTATTTATGCCAGGGCTGTTGCTAGGCTGTGCTGCAGCATGAGAATAGCTTTGAACTCTCTTTACAAACTACATCCGTGGCAGCGTGTGCTCGCAGGACCAGTTTCCCCCAACACTGTTATTCATCCCAGGGGCAGTGTTGGGGAGTAAGCTGGGTGCTGGAGAGGAGGCATGCCCTTTCTGTGCTGTAGTGCCATGGCTGGCTTCAGCTCCATCAGCGGGATCAAAAACCTAGTCACTGCAAGAATTGTAAGGGTTCACTTCTGCAATAAAGATCACTGTCCCCGTGTTCCCTTCCCTTCTCGCACTCTTGCTGTGAGCACTTGTCCTACGAAGGATGGGGTGGCGGGGCTTCTGTGTTGATGCCCTGCCAAGCTATCAAGCCCAGCACTCGTGGATGCGGTGGACACCCTGCCATGAAGGTACACAGGGTGGAAGTCGCTTTAAATTAAAACCCTGTGTCTGGTGGTGGCCAGCGAGTGTTCACGTGCTGCCCGGGGTGGCCTGAGCCTGTCTGAGAGCAGGCTGCTCGGTGACAGCCTGACTGAAGACAGGCCTCTTGGGGACAGCCTGGCCACCACTCATGTCTCCACAGCCTGCCCGGCCTCCCTGGCCGCCCTTCCCCTGCCTGGCCACTTGCAGCCCAGAAGGAAAATTAGGTTTGAAGACATTTTTCACCATGTATTTACTAATTCCTTTACAGTGACAAAACGGTTTTATGTTTTCTTTCAGGGCTTAGGTTGGATATGACTTGCCAGTAAAATGCTACCATTGGCTTTCCTGTCAGGGATTAACTCAGCACGTAACGCAGCCGTTAAGCAGTGGGGTGGGAATGGCTCCCACGGGTGCTGTTAAGGAGCGCTGCTTCGGAAAGGATGGCGTTCAGCTAATGAAATAAAGGGGATAAAGCGCTTTGTCAGGGCAGTGTTCTGCTGCCTGGCAGATGTGTGCCACAGCGTCGTGGGCTCTGAGCTCCGGGGCAGCTGGGGCTGGCTCCATGGGTACCGGTGTTTGAGCAGGCCCCAAGCCCTGCCCATGGCGCTGCTCCTCACGGCTTGGTGTGGGGTGTGCTCAGAGTTCAGCTCTGCCTGCCAGAGCAGTAACTATGCATTAAAATTTAAATGGGATATAAAACATCATTTAAAATAACTGGAGTCAGCAGTCTTTTTGTTTTTCAAAAGAGCGCTTGTGTTATTAAGAACACAGTTAGCCTGTTTAATAGCTTACTGTCTTCTTTTTTCCTGAAGTTTTAATTCATCTCCTACGCGCATTTCAATAAGGCCGTGCAGGTTTTTTTGGTGATAATGTTTTTATTGATCTTTGTACCAGATAAATCTTCCGCAGAATTTTGCTTAAAGGATTTCTTGGGCTGACACTTCCAGAGTCGTTCGTTTTTGCTGAAGAGTAAATTTTAATGCAATGCGTCATCTTAGGGAAAAATCAGCACCATTTAAAAGAAAACGGAGCTCTGTTCTCTTACAAGGAAACGCACAAGTATTTATAGTGAAGTTTTACTTGAAATAGAGCAGTATTCATAAATTTAAAGTCATAAACGCATGGTACATCCCACTTCATAAACTGCTGTTCCTGTACTTGAGGCTTTTTCTGGGTTTTGTGGTGTTTTTTTTTTTATAAGAGAAAAATGCTTGTCGTAATTGTAGGACAATATAGTAAAAAGGTAGGGAAAAAATTGCAGAGAATATGGATGAGTGTTTTCATTCGGTCTGTTGGTTTTAGGCTGGGAAAAAAGGTTAATTTATTTTTCGTACACTTATTTGTTAAAGGCTTCATTCAGTCGAGCTAGTCTGTGTCACTTGACAGCCTGGATTAAAGTGCCAAGGTGAATTCAAGTGAGAGTTCGATGTATTTATTCTGTGTTTTATTTCACAGAAAACTGTTTTCTTTCTGCCCTGTAGCATGTCTTTAAGCTGGAACAAGAAGAGTATATGAAGGAACAAATACCGTGGACCTTGATTGATTTCTATGACAATCAGCCTTGCATCAACCTCATAGAGGCCAAAATGGGAATTCTGGATCTGTTGGATGAGGAGTGCAAGGTGTGTGCTCAAGGACTTTCACAGAGAAAGAGGCTGTCGTGCTGCTGGGGCCTCTCAGGGAAAAGTCATTGCATGCAGCCATCACTTTGACACTGCTGTTGAAAGGGTTTGGAGAACATACAAATGGAACTGGCAATTACAAGAGGAAAAAAAATGGGTTTAGCCATGCTTTTTTCCCCCTCCTCTCCATCATGTATGCATATCTGTTTCTGGTCAACCTTTGTTTTAACTCTGCCAACTTTCTCTTTCCCAAGGGGAGCAAGTGCAGTCTTTGGTCCTGTCAGATTCCTCCAAATTGCCACTCGCTTGGTGTCTCACCTTTTGTCTGTTATCTTAAGTTTAATTTATGCCAAGCCATGTACAGGGGATGGGGTGTGGTGTCTGCTTCAGTGGAAACCCGCTGTGGGGTGCTTGTGTATCACAGAGCATCCCAAGAGCTCTCTAATGGTGGTGGATGAGTTCTGACCCGCTGAGATGCTGCTCAGTCAGATAATGTCCCTCCTGGATCCCTGCCTCCAGATATGTGATGTGGGAAGTGTTCTTAGCATCCTATGTGTCACAGAGCAGCTACTCCCAGGCCAGAGTACTAGAAAGGCAAGTGCATAGCCGGTTACTGGCTTCCTTGCTCATGGCAGTACTGGAAATCCAAGGAATTGGAGTCTGAAAGCAAACCACAAAGAGTTGTCCCCCATCTTAGTTTCTTTTGGGGCTGAAAAGTTTTCAGGACCCGTTAAATGGTTGTGTGTTCTCTTCCATAGATGCCAAAAGGCTCGGATGACACTTGGGCCCAAAAACTTTACAATACCCATTTGAATAAATGTGCCCTCTTTGAAAAACCCCGCTTGTCAAACAAGGCTTTTATCATCAAGCACTTTGCTGATAAGGTAAGGATTTTTCCTCTGGTTCCTCTTCCCATGGTATTGCTGAGTGTATGTGCAGGAGGGGATCCTGGGGTGGGTACCATTGCAGGCAGTGGCTGGGCAGCAGTATTCTTGTGAAATGGGTGCCCATACACCCCGTCAGGAGAAGAAACATCAAACTGAGCAACTCTCCTCCGGTTAAAATAAAAACGTTAAAAATCGTGTTGAAGACAATTGTCCTGTTAAACAAAGAAGCTGCCTCAGGATATTGTCAGCTTTGTCCAAAAAAAGTTTGGAAAAGCTCAAACATCAAGCTGAGCAACTCTCCTCCGGTTAAAATAAAAGAAAAACGTTAAAAATCGTGTTGTCCTGTTAAACAAAGAAGCTGCCTCAGGATATTGTCAGCTTTGTCCAAAAAAAGTTTGGAAAAGCTCTGTGGTTCTTAGCAGCAGGTCTGTGTGTGCTCACATGGGAGGCTGGAGGCCTTTATTTGCTTTCACGTGATTTCTCCTAGGTTCTTGAATTCATGCATAGAAGAGAGGTCCTGTTCTTTTGCATCTGGTGTTACCTTAATGAAAGCAGCAAGAACATCTCTGTAACTGTTTAAATTCATGAGTTGTCTTTTATTTGGTGAATAGAAGAGCAAGCACGACTAAGTTAATATTTCCTATACTGTTCCTTAGGCTGAACTTTGATATTTGAAAATGAAGCTTTCCTATGCCTGGTCTGAGCAGTGAGGGCCAAGGCAAGTAAAGTAGCTCCTAGCAGGTACTGGCAGAGCTCTGAGCACTGTGTGCTGTCCTGTGTGCTTAGGTGAATGCGTACAGACATCTTGAAAGCAAAACCAAGCTGTAGCTGCAGGTCAGCGACCTCCGGGCCTCGACGGCTCTGCTCTGGGAGAAGGCCGAGATTCTGCTGCCCTCTGGTGGCCGGTGTACCCCAGTAAGAGCCTTAGTGGTACCAGTGGGCTTTCAGCTGCGAAGAGGCCTTGGGAAGATCCTCTGCACTCTTCCCCCTCAGGAATTCTTTGAAATCTTTCCCAGTTTGGGGTGTAGTGTCACTGTGTGAGGACTGATAAATGGCTGCACTGAAAGAGGGGCTGCTGATGGCCGTAAGAAAGAGCGAAATTGCTCTAAGAGTCTGATCCTTTATAGTCTGTGCTTCTTCTAAGGTATAGACTTTTGATGGTAGTTTCTGTTTTTTCCTCAGCCTTGAATTATAGGACAGTGCAGTAAATATTGGGTTTTGATCTGACACTCTGGCTGGTCTTTGGTCCAGGAGACTCCTTGACCCTGTGATCGAGGATTGTTACGTATTGCTACGACATTCAGACTTTTTATTCCCTCTGGTAAAAATAGGCTTCCTGAGTACAAATGAGGCGTTTTCATAATGAGTTGCAGGCAGATCTCCTTATTGCCTCTCAGCTAATGAGACAAGATACTTTATTCTCAGTTGCATCTGGATTTTGCAGCCCCGATAACTTCAGTGAAGGAGAAGCTCAACACACATTTTGATTCTTCACCTTTACTGTAACCGTTCAGCCGTGCTGTCTTACAACAAGCATCTCTCAGCAGTGAAATGTATCTGGTTTAATGCAATAGCAGGACTCATCTCTGTGTGTTTCAATGTTTTACTGGAAGGCACCATCTTTGGAGAAAATTATGTTTAACAAAGATGCACTTGGGAGCTGATATTTTCAACACCCGTGAGAGTTGTCTGTTTTAAATGTGAATTATTCTATGCAAAATATTCTTATAATATACCTTTAATACTTACTTTTTGGTAAAACTGTGGTTTTTCAGGTGGAATATCAATGCGAAGGCTTTTTGGAAAAGAACAAAGACACGGTTTATGAAGAACAAATTAAGGTCCTAAAATCAAGTAAGGTTAGTATAAGGGATTTCTTTTCTTCTTTTGCAGTTATGAATCCTTGAATTAAAGGGTCATACAAAATTTCTTCTAAACCTAGGAAATATTTCTCCCTTAGTATCAGATGAACTGAAATTGAACACAGTTCCTTTTACTTGGCTATCTGTATGAATTTAGAAAGTCCTGTGGCTAATTTTGCTCCTTGTAATAACAGTCTGTATTTAGCCAGTGATTTCACTGCTCGGGGTTTTTTCGTCGTTTGTTTTTGGGTTTCTTTTTGTTGGTGTCTTGTTTTGGTTTTTTTTTTACTTTTCACAAAACTTTGCTGTATTTTCTGTAAAGGCATCAAGGACTTCTTGTTTATTATACTAGTATAAGAAGTTTTTAACAGTTAAGCCCTTAATTTTGTCATCTGGAAACAGAAGCTCCTTGTTTATGGCCTGACAACTGAGCAGAAGATTTCTGGAGGAGAGACAAGTTCTGCTCCAGAAGCAAAATGAGACAGGAATGACATTTATAGACCCTAAGGCCATGAACCAGAATTTATGGAGTCTTGCATTCTTGATAGCTGAAAGAAAGATAGCATCTGAACTGAAAAATACCGTGTGAAAGAATATTACAGAACAGGCCTTCAGTGGCAACGTCTGCTGCTTTTGATGGCAAAAATGCCAGTTGTGCTTTTCTGAAACGTAAAGGCGATTAACTTGACATTGTGCTGTGATAGCTGTTGGGAATTTGCTAGCTCTGATGGCCCAGGAAGCTGGGTATCAAGGGCAGGCTGTTTAAAATTGTGCTTTTCTATCAGGAAAACCAGCGTTTTTCTCTTCTGTTTCTATTCTGAGCAGATACTTGAAGCTAAATGATTAACACGTGTAGTGTAATGCAAACCCACAGCAGACCTTCCAGTGTTGCAGTGGTTTGAGTGAAGTCAGGTGCTGTGTGGGTGGCATCCTCGGGGAGCTGGCAGGGCCCAGCGGCCTGTGTGGCTCCGGTTCTGCCGCGCCGTGGCAGTGCGCTGTGCCGGGGCGCTCCCAGGGATGTGGCCCAGTGAGTGAGGGACGATGGGAACAGAGCTGCCATCAGAGCATGGCAGCAGCTCGGGCAGGCTCGGTATCACAGAATCACAGAACGTCAGGGATT